TCAATAAAGTCGTGGGATACAAAATCAACATAGAAAATCTGTTGCATTCCTATACACTAATAATGAAGCAGCAGAAAGAGAAATTAAGAAAACAATCCCATTTACAATTGCACCAAAACCAATAAGATATCTAGGAATAAACTTAACCAAAGAGTTGAAAGACTTGTATTGTGAAAACTATAAGATACTAATGAAAGGAATTGAAGATGACACAAAGACATGGAAAAACGTAGAAATTAATTAATTAATTAAAAATGGAAAAACATTCCATACTCATGGATTGGAAGAAGAAATATCATTAAAATATCTGTACTACCCAAAGCAATCTACAGATTTAATGCATTCTCTATCAAAATACAATAACATTTTTCACAGAGCTAGAACAAACAATCCTAAAATTTGTATGGAAGCACAAAGACCTCGAATAGTCAAAGCAATTTTGAAAAGAAAAAAACAAAACTGGAGACATCACAATTCCAGATTTCAAGTTATATGACAAAGTGGTAGTAAATAATATGGTACTGGCATAAAAATAAACACATAGATCAATGGAATAGAATAGAAAATCCAGAAGTAAACCCACAATTATATGGTCAGTTAATCTTCGACAAAGGAGAAATGAATATACAATGGAAAAAATACATCTCTTCAACAAAGGGTGTTGGGAAAACTGGACAGCCACATGCAAAAGAGTGAAACTGGACCACTTTCTTTCACCATACACAAAAATAAATTCAAAATGGATTAGGGGCATCTGGCTGGCTCAGTCTGTAGAGTGTGTGACTCTTGATCTTGGGGTTGTAAGCTTGAGCCACACGTTGGGTGATCTCTAAATAAATTGATCTCTAAATAAATAAATAAATAAAATAATTTTTGGGCGCCTGGGTGGCTCAGTTGGTTGGGCGACTGCCTTCGGCTCGGGTCATGATCCTGGAGTCCCGGGATCGAGTCCCATATCGGGCTCCTTGCTCAGCAGGAAGTCTGCTTCTCCCTCTGACCCTCCCCCCTCATGTGCGCTCTCTCTCTCTCTCAAATAAATAAATAAAATCTTTAAAAAAATAATTTTTTTAAAAGAATCAAGAGTCACATGCTCTACCAACTGAGCCAGCCAGGTGTCCCTTATGTACTCTTGCTATGTTAGTATATTTTTCTGCTTTTTCATTAAAATTCTACATGGACACAGATGAATGGACCAGAACAGAACGTTCAGAAATAGACCCAAATAAATCGGGCGTCTAATGTATAAGTGACACTTCAAATCAGTGTGGGAAAGATGGATTTTCCCCCCTATCCTATAAATATACTCCCACATGTGCAAGGACAACTGGTTAGCCATCTGAAAAAAAAATATGTTGCATTCCTATTATACAACTTATACCAAAATAAATTTCAGATAGACCAGAGATTTAAATGTAAAAATTGAAACCCTAGGGCTAGAAGGAGAGACACAATTTTAAATATTCTCTGAGTGGGGAAAACCTTTCCAAGTCATAAGCCATTAAAGGAAGGACACTGAACTACATAAAAATCGAAAACGTCTGCATGCACAAAGGAAAAATCATAAAGTTAAAACATAGAAGCACTGGGTGTGGAGCCAGGAGACCTGGAAAGTCAGTATTTCAATTCAGCTGGCCCAGCTCTAAGTTGCTTCCATGTAAGACTTGGGGGAAAGTATCCACTGTTCTCTACGGGAGGGGCCCTCCTAGAGGGCTCCCTGGTCTGGCTCTTGGTGAGGCCTTTTCCCTACAGTGAGACTACCCCCTAAGTCACCATAGGCCAAAGTGTAATTGGGGGGGTCCCCACCTGGGCACTTCATCTCCAAATAGCCTTCCCCAACCACCTGCTTCTGGTGTCCCCAAGTCCAGCTTAGAGAGTCATACTTTGGGTAGAGACACCTTAGCTAAGAAAATACAAAGTATCAGAGAACTAATGCATTGAGTCTGATGGGTTGTTTGTGGGGCATGAGCATTTCGGCCAAGGGCAGGTGGACCATGTGTCATGGGTGTATGGGAAGTGTGCTGGCCCAGGGGCATCAAGTTTGAGTAAGTCCCAGTTCCAGCGTTGACTTCCTGCCCAACCTCGGAGAAGTCAACCTTTCTTCTTGGGCCTCTTTCCCCCCCCCCCCTCTGAACCAGGAAGTGGTGGGACTAAATGCTCAAGTTGGGTTCGCTCATTCGTTCATTCATTCTACAAATGTTTGTTACGTACCTGCCACATTCTGGGGGTACTGCTGTAATTGTTTGAGATATAGCAATGAACAAAACAGACAAAAGGCTCTGCCCTTGTGGAACTTACATGTTAGTGGGAGGATACCATCAACAAATGAGAAATATAATCATTAAATTATATAATATTTGAGAGGCATAAGTGCCTTAGGAAAACAAAAGCAGAGTAAGGGATATTCAGGGTGTGTGTGGATGTTGGGATTTAAAATGAGGGCACAGGGGCGCCTGGGTGGCTCAGTCGTTAAGCGTCTGCCTTCAGCTCAGGTCATGATCCCAGGGTCCTGGGATCGAGCCCCGCATCGGGCTCCCTGCTCCTCAGGAAGCCTGCTTCTCCCTCTCCCACTCCCCCTGCTTGTGTTCCTGCTCTCACTGTCTCTCTCTCTCTGTCAAATAAATAAAATCTTTTAAAAAAGTAAAAAATAAAAAATAAAACGAGGGTACATGCTAGGCTACACCAAGAAGGTGACTTAAAAAAAAAAAAGATTTTATTTATTTATTTATTTGAGAGAGAGAGAGAGAGAGAGCACGAGTGAGGGGGAGGCACAGAGGGGGAGGGAGAAGCAGACTCCCTGCTGAGCAGGGAGCCAGATGTGGGGCTCCATCCCAGGACCTGGAGATCATGACCCGAGCCCAAGCCAAAAGTCGGACGCTTAGCCAACTGAGCCACCCAGGCACCCCTTAATATTTTATTTTTTTAGAGCAGTTTTAGGTTCATAGCAAATTTGAGCAGAAGATTCAGAGATTTCCCGTACACCACCATCCCCACACATGCACAGCCTCCTCATTATTCACCCCCCGCCCCCACCGGAGTGATACACCTGTTACAGGGACACATCATCACCCAGGATCCATAGTTTCCAGTAGGGCTCACTCTTGATGTTGCACATTTTATGGATTTGGACACGCGTATAATGACACATATCCACCATTCTAGTATCACACTGAGTATTTTCACTGCCCTAAAAATCCTTTGTGCTGTTGGAGGGTTTTGAGTGAAGCAATGTCCTGTGATCTTTTTTGGAATTCTGAGATCCTACTAAATTTGAGGAAAGAGTTAAGAGGGCCGCAGAACCAAGACTGTTGCCTATTTTGCCTTCCAGCCTCCTGCGGGTCCGAGGGCGGATATAAAGTTCCCAGCCCTCCCCCTGGTCTCCGCCTCTGCTCATGCCCTGCCTCAGTTGGAAGAATGAGGCTGTAGAACCCTGTCGTTCCTCTGGGTGGTGGTGCTGCATCACACACAGGGACACCTCCCTGTTCTGTTGTGTTCCCAGAATGGCCAGCCCTTTCCCTGGGACCTTGTCAGTGAAATCGCTCAGGAGTGGAGAAAATTGGAGAGGCCCTCCATCATCAGGGACATCCTCCAGCCAGCTCACCCTTCTCTGGTAAATCCTCCTCGCGTTGTCAGGACTGCCAGGGGCCCCTGGAGCGAGGCCAACCCCCAAGCCCGTACTCTCATCTCGCCACTTCTGGGAAGCAAAGAGTGTAAACAACAAAGAGAGAGCCAGGGTGTTTTTTCCCTCTTTATACTTCCATGTACTTGTTCTTCAAGTCTAGATTGATATTCATTTTGACACTTAAACATTGTGATGATGCTCACTCCGGAATATGAATTGAGGGGGGGGAGGAGAAAGGGTCACACACATATGGGGCACCTCGTATGTTGCTGCCTCCTGTGCTTTTGGAAAATGATTGCACCTGTGTCCTCTCCTGGAGCTGACCACCAGCTACATGGTCTTTCTAGCTAGAAACAAAGTACCATCTTCACTACCTTTCTCCTCCCTCTTTTATCTCTCACATCTGTCACCAAAACTGTCCGTTTTATCCTAAGTAATGTCACAAATTCACCCCACCCCCCTTTATGCGCATCTTCACTGCCTTTGTATATCCCCAGGGTAGCAAATATGAAAAGCGAAACGAGTGAAAGGGAAGAAGGCCAGAGTGTGAGGCAAGAGGGAAGGGTGGGGACTGCCGTGAAGCCGAAAGAGTATCCGTGAAACCTGAGCCACGTGCCCTTCTGCGGGGAGGCACATCCACATGTGGCAAGTTGTTAAAAGCCAGAAATCTGTTGCTGTTCGTTGTTTTTAATGTGAAATGTACCAAGTTAATTTTGGCAACTGATTTTTTTTTTAAATGTTTTAAACACTAAGTAGAACACAAGGGGCAAACAACACACCAGTGGTCCGAGTTTCGCAGGCAGCGGCTGATTTTTGACCACCGGTTTTAACCACCATCCTAGCTACGACTATTGATGTGGCTTCCTCTACCGCCTTCGGCCTCTCCCGTCTCTCACTTCCGTGCACTTTGCTTGCGGCCTGCAGAGCATCTCCCCAGGCGCCAGGTCACACCAGCTCGTTCCCACTGCTTGACGGCTCCCTTGCCATGGTCCCCCCCAGGTTACTCAGGAGACCGAGTGCAGACAACTGAGGCAGGCTGCCGGACTTCTCCCTCTCTGACTCCAGGCCCGCTCCCCACCGTGCCCCCCGACACTGCGCCCTCCCTGGGCATACATCACTCCTTTGTTACGGGCCAAGGCCTCCCGCGCACCTCTATTCAACTGTTGTAACATCTCTCCACGTGTGTCTCCTGCTCTAGGTGGCGATGGATGGCCATGGACGCAAGTGACCACCCCTTATTTGTCTGTGCTTGTGTGGGGCACCTGCCGCTCAGAAGGTAGCTGGCAAATATTTTTTTTTAATAAATTACAAAATGAATGAATGATGACTGTTAGCCAAGTAAGGTAGAACTGTCTTAAGGATGTTTATTTCCCCACCCCGTTTATACATAACTAAGACCTGATCATCCTTCTGACAAAGACAGTTCTCTTCTTTCCCCTCATTGGCCCCCAGCCCCCAGGGTGCAGAGGTGTTGAAGACAAGTGCTCTGGGAGCCAGGACCAGCTGCCCCCGCCCCTCCTGCCTGGCTGTTCTTACGGGCTGGTCCCTGGAGTCTCTGGGGCTTCCTTAATCCTCTTTCTCTTGAGTTTTGTTTTGTGAGGAAGTTTCCTTAGAGAACCTGAAAAGGGAAAGTGACACAGTCCTGATAACATAAGCAGTAAGAGAATCTCAGCCTGTAACATGTCAGGGGGGGGTGGTAGGGACAGAAAGGAAGAATGACAAAATCTTATCTTCACTTGCAACCTCTGTCCCTTCCTCTTTTCTCACAGAAACCCTGTGGCGGAGGAAGACTGTATCACCCCGATTTATAGATGAGGGATCTCACCCAAGCGCAGAGCCCACCCTGCCCAAAGCCTTAGGCAAGAGAGGGGCAGAGTCAGGACCAGACCACATTTCTTGACGCTGAGACCTCCCCACACCCGTCTCAGATTCCAGGCCCTGGTTCCCAGGACTTGGCTGCCAGACGGTTTGCCAACCCCTGCCATCTTTTTACTTAAAAACTGACTTATGAACATGGTGCCAAAGAAACACCAGATGGGTTACCTTTAATATCACAGATGGACTCAGTGATTGACCAGAGCCCGTTCATGGTGGGTCCAGCAGATAGCACGTGCTTTGTCATATAACACAAGGTGAAGAACACAACCTTGTCTGTATCCCAGGCAAACAAATATTTAACAGGACTTCATCAGGACTTTTGATCTGAAGTTCTGTTTATGCACAGAGGAACAAGCTTAAAAAAAAATGCCAAAAGGAAGCAACAAGTGTCAAAAGTGGAACATTCTGCAGAACAGTGGCCTGATCTCTTCAACAAGTCAGGATGTGAAAAAGGGGATTTTGTTGGGTTCAAAGAGATGGAAGAGACATGACCAGGTGCAATGATGCATGAGTGGGAAATCGGTGCAAGAAAGGTCCTGGACTACTGGGAAAATTTGAAGAAGGAGTACTTAATCCAACAATTGGATGAAAGGAAAATATTGACATGGAATGCTGATCTAATTAACTGAAAAAAGCAAGTTCCAATCAAAATCCTATACGCAGTGAGATCTCATTTGGCTAAAATACATGTATTGATATGTATAAAAAACATCTGGAAAGTGCTAGCAGTAGGGAGGACAATGTGATGTTTATATTTTCTTAATTTTGCTTATCGGTATCACCTTATTTTCTATGCTACGCTTCTGTTTGTAGGAATAAAATGTTATTTTAAGAATTACATAAAAGCCAACGTTCTTAACCCACCATCCAAGGCTTTTTCCTATTACCCCTCGTCCTGCACTTCTTCAACCTGCTCTTCCATTCACCTCCAGGCCCAGACTGTCTGCTCATTGCCCCTCATCTCTGCACACACCTTTCCTTCCTCTCCTTCCCTCCCTTACCCCTCCTCCCCTCCTTCTCCTCTGCCCGTTCTTTAAAGCCCGTCCCAGAATTACCTCCTCCAGCCAGCCTGTCCTACCCTTTGCCCTGTGGCCTCAGATGGCTCACTCGTAAAAGGGGGGTGATAACACCCATCTGAGGATGCCGGAGGGGTGAGGGTTAGGTGAAATAAAGATACCAGTCCCCTGGTATGGAGGAGGCTGGCCCCAAAGCCCAGAGCTCACTTTCCCTATCTGATTCAGGAACTGCGTCGCCTACATCATCTTCATCATGGACTGGCCTTCATTCCATTGGATATTTTGCTTCCTCAATTTAAACTATAGGCACCAGGGCCAAGGGCCCTCACAGAGCCCAGACAGAGCTCTGGGCCTCAGGAAATGCCTGACAACGCGCCCACTGCCTCTGCCCCATTCCCCCTCCTGCTCTCCCCTCGGGGCAGCTGTGACTGGTGGGCGAGGCCCCGAGCGCCGGGGGCCTGCATCAGACCCAGCCAGCCCGACCCTCAGAGGGGCCAGTTTAGGACCACACTCGGAGATCCGAGGCCACTCTGTTCACCTTCACTTGCTCCCCCAGTAGTAAAGCAAGAACAGCTAAACTGTGGTCCCCGAAGCCGGATCCAGAAGGGAGAAGGGTAAGTGGCTCCTACATCTCTTTGTACCTCAGTGCACAGGAGGGGCCTTCATAGCTTCCAACCTTGGCTGGGACCCCTCACTGAAGAGTCTCTGTCCCCTCACCCCACAGCCTCTGTCCAGAGGGCCAAGCAGTGCAGTCGTGGCAGAGACCAAGGCTGCCGGGAAGGCCAGTCCCAGGCCATCCGACTCGACTTTCCCCCTGCTGTGGGAATGAACCACTTCCTTAGTCCACAGCCCACCCAACACCCAGAGCAGGCTTCCCGCCTCTGCTTAGACACCTCCTGGGAGTCCCCACTCCTGACTGCCAGCGACGGTCTCTGCCTCTACTCCTATGGGCAAGTGGCTTCGTTTAAACTGTTCATTGAAAAACGCAGGATCCCAAACTGTATGCATCATGAGACCTCCAGAGGGAAATCATGCAGAATGCTGAGGGGAGACACGCGAAAACTTTTACCGGTCATGGCCTTGGGGGATGGGTGATTTTCCTCTCTCCTGTTTTTTTTTTTTCTTTTTTTTTTTTAATTTTTTTTATTGTTATGTTAATCACCATATATTACATCATTAGTTTTTGATGCAGTGTTCCATGATTCATTGTTCGTTCATAACACCCAGTGCTCCATGCAGAACGTGCCCTCCTCAATACCCATCACCAGGCTAACCCATCCCCCCACCCCCCTTCCTCTCTCCTGTTTTACACTTATCTATACATTTCAAACTTTCTATGATAAGCACCCCCGCAGGGAGGGGGACAAAAAGGAGAAAAGAAGAAAGTGCAGAAGGGGAAGGAAAGATGGACCGAGAGAGAAGTGTGGGGTTAAAGGGAAGATGGGAAGGGAGGGCTGTCGATGCCCCCACACCTAAGGGCATTACCTTTCCTGCCCAGGCCCCGGGGTGGTGGCTCCCCCAGCAGGGAGGCCTCTCGGCCAGGCACCTGCATCTTGGACAGCCTCTCCTTCATGCAGCTGATGTTGTTGTGCAGCCCCCACGCACTGCACAGCTTGGGCAGACTGTCCTCCCGGTCGGCCAGCAGGGAGCTCTCCAGGGTGTCCAAGGGGCAGAACGTCACCTGCAATGGGCCCATAATGTTGAGGAGAGCGTGGAGAAGAGAGGGCCCCACGTTCCAGAGCCCCAGCCCTGCCCCCGTGAGGAAATGACCGTGGTCTGCCTGCACCTCACCCCCCTGCCTAGCCAGCAGGAGGCACGAGTCACAGACGGGGGAGAGGAAGGACCGTGGGGGCACTGAGGCCGGGCTGCCAACCGTCTCTTCTTGGGTGCTTCTTTACTTGGATATATGTCCTCCATCTCTTTTTAGAGTTATATATAGTGTCTTTTTTAATTTGCTTCGAGGTTTTATTTAAATTCTAGTTAACATAGTGTAATATTGGTTTCCAGAGTAGAATTTAGTGATTCATCACTTCCATACAACACCCAGTGCTCCTCACAACAAGTGCCCTCCTTACTCCCCATCACCCAGCTGGCCCATGCCCCGCCTACCTCCCTCCAGCGACCTTCAGTTGCTATAGTTCTCTATGGCTCTATAGTTAAGAGTTCTCCATAGTTAAGAGTCTCTTATGATTTGCTTCCCTTTCTCTTTTTTCCCCTTCCCCTATGTTCATCTGTTTTCTTAAATTCCACATGAGTGAAATCATGTGGTATTTGTCTTTCTCTGATTGACTTATTTCGCTCAGCATAATACACTCTAACTCCATCCACGTCATTGCAAATGGCAAGACTTCATTCTTTTGATGGCTGATATATATATATATATATCTCATATCTTCTTTATCTGTTCATCCGTCAATGGATGTTTGGGCTCTTTCCATAATTTGGCTATTGCTGATAATGCTGCTATAAACATCGGGATGCATGTGCCCCTTCAAATCAGTATTTTTGTATCCTTTGGGTAAATACCTAGTCGTGCAATTGCTGAATCATAAGGTCGTTCTATGTTTACCTTTTGGAGGAACCCCCATACTGTTTTCCACAGTGGCTGCGGAAAGTGTTAGGAGGGTTCCTTTTTCTCCGCATCCTCACCAACACCTGCTGTTTCCTGTGTTGTTAATTCTAGCCATTCTGACAGGTGTGAGGTGGCATCTCATTGTAGTTTTGATTCCTATTTCCCTGATGATAAGTGATGTTGAGCATCTTCTCATGTGTCTGTTGGCCTAGAGTTATAGTGCCTTATGCATTTGTTTGTAATGAAACAATGGTATTTGTTTTAAAGTCTTTGGCAAGATTAAAATTGAGAGCCTAAAAATATCTTTTGAAATTTTCCTGGCCAGTGAAATCCAGGAATCACTAAAATGACAACACCTCATATTCAGAGGAGGATTCCCTGAAATGATCCACCCATTCATGTTCAGAGGAAGAAACAGAGACCCAAAGGGGGAAAGGATTGGGTTAAAGATGCGTAGCTAGAGTGGGGTGGGGTGCCGTAGTTAGAGCAAGGCTTTCCCCTGAGCCAGATTACGTTTGAACCCGGCTCTTGCCCCCACTGGCTATGTGGTCTGGGTCATGTTACTTTACCTCTCTGCATCTGGCATCTTCATTTACACACTGTGGACACTAATTGTAATTACCATGTAGGGTTACTTTTGAAGATTCTAGGAGGGAACATAAAGGGCCTGGCACATAGAAACTGTTACCTATGATTCTTATTTTGAACCAGTGATTCCCAAAGGGTGCTCTGTGAAACCCTGGGGACCCCTGAAATATTTTGACCCCGCTGACCCCCTGCAAAGTGGGGTCTCCTCAAAGTGCAAGAGAGAAACCAATGGATTCTAATGAGCCTAGTGTGAAAAGGTCATTGATACAAATCTGAGAAATCTACACACTGTATGATTCCAACTGTATGACATTCTGGAAATATTGAGATGGTAAAAAGATCAATGGTTGCCAGGAGTTTGGAGGGAAAGGATGGAGGGATGAATATGTGGAGCACAGGATTTTTATGGCAGTGAAACTATTCTGTATGATACTGGAACGGTGGATACATGTCAGTATGCATTTGTCAAAACCTATAGGGTGGCTCAGTTGGTTAAGCGTCTGCCTTCGGCTCAGGTCATGATCCCAGGGTCCTGAGATGGAGCCCCACATCGGGCTCTCTGCTTGGCAGAGGGCTTCTCCCTCTCCTCCCTGCTCGTGCTCTCTCTCACTATCTCTGTCTCTCTCTCTCTCTCTCAAATAAATAAATAAAATCTTAAAAAAAAACCTAGCATGTACAACACAAAGATTGGGCCCTAATATAAACTATGGACAGTATTTAGTTAATAATGTGTCATAAATAATGTGTCAATACTGGCTTAGTGATGGTAATAAATGTACCTCTCTAATGCAAAATGCTAATAATGAGGGCAACAGGAGGGGTTAGTATACGGGAAATCTCTGTACTTTCCACCCAAATTTTCTGTAAACCTAAAATTATATATACATATATAAACATTCATTGATATGGTTTCAGATTCCACATTGCTAATAAGTAGCTGCCACTTGTTGGGTTTTGGTGTGGTATCAAAGAAAAATATCCATGACTCTCTGAAAATGCTAGTAAAATACTCTTTTCTCCAACTACACATCTGTACAGCCTGGGTTTTCTTCACGTCCTTCAGCCAAGTCACATAGCATAAGAGACTGCAGAAGCAGCTGTTTTCTATTAAACCAGACACTAAAGAGATTTGTGAAAATGTCAAACAATGCTACTCTTCTCACTACATTTTTTTGTTTTGAAAAATATCGCTATTCCTTATAAAAATTATTTATGTTAAAATGTAATGGGCTCCTTGTTTTGATTTTTAAATGGATTAGTGAGTACATATTTAGAATTTTTTCTTTAGTTTCAATTTCTTTTTTTTTAAAGATTTTATTTATATATTTGACAGAGAGAGACACAGTGAGAGAGGGAACACAAGCAGGGGGAGTGGGAGAGGGAGAAGCAGGCTTCCCGCCGAGCAGGGAGCCCGATGCGGGGCTCGATCCCAGGACCCTAGGACCATGACCTGAGCCGAAGGCAGACGCTTAACGGCTGAGCCACTCAGGCACCCCTAGTTTTAATTTCTAATAGGGCAAATATCAGTAGCTGTAACCTACATAAACAAATGCTTTTGGGGCTTCTCAATAGCTTTTTAAGAGGGTGAACATGACTTGAGTCCAAAATGTTTGAGAGTCACTGTTTTTGAACAAAGCCAGGCCAGGCTCTGATAGTCCTCAGAGCCTTCCCCAAGCTGGCTGTGCCTCTCTGCCTGGCTTCCACCATCCCCACCCGTATCTTCTCGGGAATGTCCCTGCACCTGTCAACATCAGGGTGTGGGTGTGGAGAGTGAAGAAATACCAAGAACTTGAAGCTGAGCCTCTGCCCTCTTCAGCCCCACTGTGCCCCCTGTCGGGGGTAAAGGTAGGGGCAGTGGGGTCTTCCTGAGGCAGTGAGTGTGGAAACAAGTCAAGGGATGCTGGCGGTATCAGAGGGCCCCCTCAGCCCCAGGCCTCCCCCCACAATCTAAGAACACACCAGCCAACCCTCAGCTGGGCCCGGGAGGAGCTTTCCTGAGCGCCTCACCAGGAACTCGGCCGTCTGGTTGCTCTTGGTGTACTTGTAGAGCCTGCGAAGCTGTTTCGCCTCTAATTCTGAGAAGAGAGAAACAAATCGCCAGAGCATCCTGCGGGGGGAAACCAAGGCTGAGGGAGGCAGAGCACAGCCCCTCTCCCTTCAGCCTCTGTCTTGTGTCCACGACCCACTCAGGGAGAAATGGACCACATCCTGCCTCCTTGGATTTGGCCAGGGACGTGGAGAGGTGGACATTTGCTATACCTTGAGTACCCCATCCTGGTGCTGGCCACCCACACCACACAGCAGTTTTTCGATCAGAGGTCATTCTCCACAGGGTCAGGAGAGTTCTTTGTCCACTGCGTGTGCAAGCTGCCATGAATCAGTGCTGCCCTGAGTAACTAGAGGCCCCTGGTCTCTCCACCTCTCCTTCACCATGCTCACTCCAGGATCCTCACTCTTTCACATAAAGGTGAGGGACTCAGGGATCTTGACTGAGGTGTGTCCTTGAATGGGGTGTGGGGTGGGGCCCAGGAGTGGGTATAGTGGGAAGGGCAAGAAGGCTGCCCTACTTCCTCCAGTGCTTGATTTCCCAGGTTCGGCAGTAGTGCTGCAAAAAGGTGTTGATGTGGTCCCCTAGGACCACCAGGCTCTGCTTCATGTACTTTAGCTTCTTCTTCTGGGGAAGATCCCTGGGCAGGTGCAGCTTTCGCAGGAACTTCTTCAGTGGCCTTAGATATTCTTTACACTGAAGAGGCAACAGGTGAAATGAGCAACCATAGGAGAAAAGAAGAGGCAGATGGGTAGCCCCAAGTAACCAGCAGCCCTTATGGGCCAGGAAGTGTTAAGTCGGTTAAGTAAGGAGGCTCTTGTCAAGGTCTTACTTGACATGACAAGTGGGACAGTAAGCTATGGATCTGAGGCCTGCCAATTTCTGACCCAGGTCTCCTGGCCTGGAGGAGGGACAGGGTCCCTTACTCACAATTTTGAAGGTGTCCTGGCCCAGGCCCTTGGCATGGCGTACAAGTGAGTCTCCAGTGGGTGTGGTGCCGGAACTCTTCTCCAAGCAGGGTACATTTGTCACCTGGGAGGAGGCAGGGTGCCGCGGTCAGCTGGGGGGCTTAGGTGCCTGCTCCTGAGGGGCAGTGCGAGGCAGCCAGTGGTCCAAACTCCAACCAAAGCCCTTCTCCGTTTTCCCTAGGACCTCTTCCTTGGCCCAGCCCTGAGGCAAGTAAGCCCTCAGCAAAGAAACCCAACCCTGAAGATCCCTGCTTAGAAAACCTAGAATGCCCTGCCCATTTCTTTTATAATCATTAGAGCACAGTATTGTAGCTAATTTTGCAAAGCACTTGATAAACATGAACTCATTTTATTCTCCCACAAATTCTTTAAGGTGAGACATCATTATCCCTGATTACGGATGAGAACACTTTGAGGCACCAAGCGATTTAAGGGACTCCTTGGGGGAAGGAGCAGGGAGTCATTCACTCATCCATTCAGCAAACATTTATTGAGCGCCGAAGTCCCAGGCCCGCCTCCAACCCTTAGCATCAAGCCACAATAATGAGCACTCAGAAAAGCATGTGACAGTGATGGTAATGAGAAGAAGCTCTCTGACAGCAAACGTGGGGCCAGAAAAAAAGCTGAAAATTAATGAAGACAAAGTGACTTTGAAATAATACTTGAAGTCAGAGCACAAGATTAGGTTGACACAGTAGGATTTGCACCTGACTTTGCAAAAGCCTCTCAGAAAAGTGAGCATTAATTCCTGCCTGTGTTCAGGAAGACTCAGGCCCAGACCACTCTGAAGGCGGAGACCAGGGAGAGGGTGGAAGGGAAACAGAGAGAGTATGGAACCCAGGCTCCTCCAGGCCCCAGAGCGAGGGGACTCTGGCGGATCGACTCCATAAACACACCAATCCAGCACACAGACCATAACTCAAGTGCACACGCACACACACACACGTGCACACACACACACACGAGCACTTGTCTCCATAACCAACAATCATCTTGCCAGGAATGTATGTCTTTGAATGAATCAACCTTCTCTTGTTCTTTCCGTCTCCTGCTAGCTCATGTACATCACCATTTTTCCTTCTTCTTTTCTTCCCTGAATCTCATGTTCTCTGCTTTCCAAGACCAGCCCCTCAAGGACCCTCCTTTCTTCCCTCCCTCACCTCCCTAGCCCCACTTCACCTTGTTTAGTGGCTTGTCCCCTTCAGCCCCTTGCCCATCGGAGGCCTCCATCTCAACAGGTGCACTGGCGGCCTCCAAAGTGGCTCTCGTTATGTCCCCTCAGGCTTCTGACCTACTGCTTCTATGACCTGAGTGTCTCAGGGAGTGGGCAGGTTGGCTCCAGAACTCGGAGCAATACCATGGCAACCGCCAACACAGAGCCTAGCTCCCCTCCCCCTCCCATGCCCTCGTTCTTGGGGGTGGCCACCAGCCACCTCCTTCAACAGGGAACAGAACTCGGGAAGCGAGCAAGATGTGCCGAGTAGACCCAGGACTTTGTCAGAGCTCAGCGCTGGCCAGGTGGGGCTGTAACCCCTGTTCCCAGGAGAACCGTCAGATGCCGGTGATTGTGACCCCTGGTAAGAGCTTCGAAGTAACTTTCCTGCATGTGTATCGCTGATGACTCCTCGGTTATGCCGTGGGCTCCCCGTGATGAGGGCCATGGTTTATAACGCTTCTTTCTGGTTTGGGGACAAAGGTCTAGAGGGAGCTCGGAGAGAATGGAATACAGTAAGCCTCTCCTGAGACGGATCTCCTCTTCTGTTCCTCTGTAGCCTCCGGGAAGTCAATAAGCCAGTTGTGTTGGGCGATGGTTAAGTGGTGGTAGCGTTTTTCGGGAGGGTGCAAAAAGTACAAGCTACCCTGTAATATCTCAATTGAGCCTCGCAACAGTCTTCTCTGAGGTGGGTACCGCAGTGACCCCATTTCACAGAAGAGGAGCCGAGACACAGAGAGGTCCGGTGACTTGCCTTAGGTCCGCGGCCACTAAGTGGGGCGCGGGGCATTCGGTCGGATCCGGACCGCTCTAGCCTTTCCCACCCGCGCCGCCCTCCGGGGATCCGAGGCCGCGAGAGGCATTGCTGCGGCCGGAGTCCCGGCGTCTGCCTGGCCGGCTCGGCCCGGAGGCGCTCGGAGGTGCGGGCAACCAGCCGCGACCTCGCCCCTGACTCGGCCCAGCGCCCGCTCGCGACCTCCAGCGGCGCACGGCGGGGTTCGGCGCTGATGGGACCGTTGCAGCCTCCGCTTACTCAACCTGTATCTTCTTCCCGGGGACGCTGAGCTCCACGTCCTGGCCCTTGCTCTCGTGTCCTCTAGGCCCGGGATCCCCCCACTCCACCGCTGCAGCCCCCAGTCCATACTGCCCACTTCCTCCTCTGCCCTCGCCGGCACCGGGTCGGACCACAGTGGCCAACGGAGCCGGGCTGGGATCCCCACCCCGCCCCGCGAAGTCCTGCCAGGTCTCCCTCTCGCCATCTGGCGGTGGTACCCGCACACGACAGGGACACTGTGGCTGAGGACATGCCTAGGGGAATGTGGCTCCCCGCCAAACTGGAGAGCCTGGTGTGTTTGAGCATTAATCCGGGACTACTTTGCGGCTATTAAGAAGGAAATTGTATTGGCAAGAGTAAGGGAAAGGGGGCTCTCTTACACGCTTCTACTGGGAACAATGAAGAATGTTAAATGTACATTCCCTTTGGCCCACAAATTCTACTTCTAGGAGTTGGTCCTAAGGAAAGATGATGTGTGCATAAGGACTGTTACAAGGGTGACAATTTGGAAACAATTGAAGTGTAATCAGTAGGAAAGGGTAAATCAACTGTGGAACACCAATACTTAAAAATACTACTCTATTAAATAGTAAATAAAATTAATTTAAAAAATACTTTACTACTGAAATACTATTATTAAAATATTACTCTGTATCTACATAATACTAATTAAAATTTTTAAAATTAGTACTTTATATTTAATGACGTGGAAAACAAGGACTAAAACAACATGTCTGGTATGATTCCATTTTTTTAAAAGATTTTGTTCATTTATTTGACAGAGACAGACAGCAAGAGCAGGAACACAAGCAGGGGGAGTGGGAGAGGGAGAGCAGGCTTCCCGCGGAGCAGGGAGCCCGATGTGGGGCTCCATCCCAGGACCCTGGGATCATGACCTGAGCAGAAGGCAGCCGCTTAATGACTGAGCCACCCAGGTGCCCTGATTCCATTTTTGAAAGTATGGATTTATATATGCATAGAAAAAAGTCTTGAAGGATACACTTCAAAATGTAAAGGGTGATTTTTCACCTTTTTTGCATATTGTCTGCCTTTCTAAAACTAATGAATATGCTTTACATTTACAGTCAGGAAAAAAAGGGAGAGCTGAGTCTGTTTTTAAAAGTTACTCATAAGGAATAAACAACATCATTAAAAATGTTATATAATGCTAAGTTTAAAAACACAAACCAAAAGAGTATTACACTATAGCTCTGAGAAGCCAACATGAATATGGACCAAGACTGGAAGAAAACAGTAGAAAAAAGAAACAAGGAATTGAACACAGATGTAGATATTATATATCTATTCGCCCCCCTGCCCCAAATAATATTTACAATTCAAAAGGGGGAAGTAAGTCAGAACCTCAAAGTTTATCTGTCCCTGCCTGCTCCCTCACCCCACTCCACTTCTCCTCTTTCCTCCCAGAGCCTCCAACAAGTCCTGGACTCTGGATGCCTGCCCTGTTCCCATAATGGTTTTATTATCAGCCATAGGGAGTAGCCTGAAAAGAACATTGAGCCTACCAGCAACTAGGAATGACTCAACACTCAACATAAAAACAAAAATCCATTGCCTTTGGGAGACATTCTTCAAAATCCAATTGGTTAGCATAAAATGACACTATAGGGCAAGTCAACTCATTGAACTGAGTCATTCCTCCAATATTTAATTTAAAAAAACCTCTGTGTGCCATGTACTTCAGGCAGGTGGCGTGGGGAAGGTGAGGGTGAGGGTGTTAATTTGTTCACCCTCCACTCTATGCAGGTTGGCATATTCCTTAATGGTGTGGGCTGGTTTCATTAATCATTATGTCTCACCCCTACCCACTAGTGACAAAAATCTTGTTGTATGTCCTAAATTCAGGGGACAAGGAAAATGACTCTTGGCATCTACTGCCTACACTTCCTCTCATAGACTTGAAGATCTTTTCATCTCTCTCCCTGGGTTCAACAGTGACTCAGAGACTTTTAATTCCCTTAAAGAACTCTCTCGGGGCACCTGGGTGGCTCAATTGGTTAAGCAACTGCCTTCAACTCAGGATCAGCTCAGGTCATGATCCTGAGTCCCGGGATCGAGTCCCGCATCAGGTTCCCTGCTTGGCAGGGAGTCTGCTTCTCCCTCTGACCCTCCCCTCTCTCATGTGCTCTCTCTCTCAAATAAATAAATAAAATCTTAAAAAAAAAACTCTCTCTCTATCCCTTTCTTTTTTTTATTTAAAAAAATTTTTTTAAAGATTTTATTTATTTATTTGACAGAGAGAGCAGCAGAGGGAGAGGGAGAAGCAGGCTTCCCACCGAGCAGGGAGCCCCATGTGGGGCTTGATCCCTGGACTCTGGGATCATGACCTGAGCTGAAGGCAGACGCTTAACCGACTGAGCCACCCAGGCGTCCCTCTTTTTTTTTTTTTTTTTTGTAAGATTTTATTTATTTGTTTGACAGAGCATAAGCAGGGGAAGCAGCAGGCAGAGGGAAAAGGAGAAGCAGACTCCTCCCCGAGCGGGATGTCCGATGCGGGGCTCGATCCCAGGACCCTGGGATCATGACCTGAGCCGAAGGCAGATGCTTAATGCCAGAGCCACCCCGGTGCCTCTTTATCCCTTTCTTTACTATGAAACCCAAGGGTATCTTAGCATTGCCAAAAGAAACCCCTTGATCTTGTTCTAAATTATCCAATTAGAATTGTATCAAGTCTCCAAGAAAAGGAGGGCCATTTAAATTCCCACCGTAGCTGGAATGCTGGGTCTGGAGGAAATGTGACAGTTTCTAGCTGAGGGCCAAGGCATCCCTAATCCAAGGCCACGAGGGATTCTATCACTACCTAAGGCAAAATCTCTTAGCATGGGGTGGACTAATAAGCCTGAGAGAATCAACAAACCCACTGAAACTCTTAACTAGCAAGTTAAGGACTCATTGCCTTCATCAGGTAGTCAGAGAGGTCTATAGCCTAAAGAAGTTAAGAACCTAAGGGTGTAGACCTTCTTCTCAGCCGTGGTTTTTCAGATGGGTCTTTAAATCTGAGCTCGGGGAAACCCGCAAATGGAGGTTGTGTGAGAAATGCCAGAAACACAGTTAATCTGGAGAGAAACAGGAAAAAGGAAGAAGGCAAGGGGGTTTTCGGTCTAACTAACCATATTCCAGACCAGACCCAAGAAACCAGCGACTAAGGAGAAGGCCACTGAGATCCTTGAGCATGTCCAGTAAAGGTGATATACCGCACCCCCTGTGAGCAGCCTGCACCCATCCCTCACCAGCGGGAAGGAAGCTCCGTCTGCACTAATCCGAGGGTGAGAGCCTGTCGAGACGGAGTCTACAGGCGTGACACCTCCCCTCTCCCCCTGGCAGGACACAGGCACATCTCTGCATGCTGATCAGGAGCATCTGTTCATCTCCTCTCCTCTCAAAATAGTTCTCAAAAATATTTGGTACTTTTTCCTTCACTCCTATCTGCTATTTACTGTAGTTTTCCATTTATGGAGCCCTGGTTTAATTTCACTTCGGTTTTTTTTTTTTTTTTTGTAGCAATGTTTTAATTTGGGCTTTATGGGCTCTAAAAATATCTTCTCAGGATATCAAAAGTAACACCACAGAATGGAAAACTTATAACTTCAGAGCATGTTTCTAAACAATTTAATGATATGCAAGCTTCTGAGATGGTGTTAAATTACTGGGCCTAATGATTTCCACTTGCTTCTCTCTGGAAAGTGTTCTTTCCTAAGATGGGAGGCAGGGAGATGCGCAGGAGAAAATTGTATGGTCAATGAATATTGGAGCTGGGAAGGATTTTGGAGAGGAAAAATGCCACCCCTAAATTTGCTACAAGTTGGATGGGAGGGACGGGGTGGCTGGGTGATAGACATTGGGGAGGGTATGTGCTATGGTGAGCGCTGTGAATTGTATAAGACTGTTGAATCACAGACCTGTACTTCTGAAACAAATAATACATTATATGTTAAAAAGAAGAAGAAGATAGTAGGAAGGGAGAAATGAAGGGGGGGAATCGGAGGGGGAGACAAACCATGAGAGACGATGGACCCTGAGAAACAAACTGAGGGTTCTAGAGGGGAGGGGGGTGGGGGGACGGATTAGCCTGGTGATGGGTATTAAAGAGGGCACGTTCTGCGTGGAGCACTGGGTGTTACGCACAAACAATGAATCATGGAACACTACATCAAAAACTAATGATGTATGGTGATTAACATAACATAATAAAATAAAATAAATTTGCTACGAGTCCTGCAAGTTGTCCCCAAAGGACTTACTCTCACTGTATCTCCTTCAGGGCACCATAGTTGTACCCCCTGCC